GGCAGCCACACTTCTGTCACCCTCCTTATCGTCATAGTCCGAACTGATGTCACCAACAGAAGCCACGCCGTGGAGCCACTTGTTGTTGTGGTGGACTGTGTTGATGTATCTGTTGGTCCAGTCTGCTGTCACTGATGATGACGTAGTTTGCCACACTGATGTTGCTGATGATGCTGTTGTCACACGGAGAGATGTATTTGCTTGTGTTGTTACAGATGAAGTACCATCATATATCAGTATTCTTCTTGTACTTCTGTGATTGCCTGCCTTGTCATAGGCAGTTAGGACGACAGAATAAACACCCTCCTCAGTCAGCGTGTAGCTGTTGGACGTCTGGAACGTGTACATATGTAATTAATACATACATCTGCTAACAAGTGAACAGGTCAGATTCCACCTTTTCAATGCATTGATGTGCTTTGAACGATGTTCCTGTTATTTGTAGCCGAGTCAAGTAGTCGCACTTATCATTTCTACTTATTATCACCAGAATGTATGGAGGTAACACCCGCACACGCACGCACACACACATACGCACACACACATGCACTACCACGCTGCCACATGCATGCATCCACATGACACTACTATTTGTATGCGACTAATCACCCTTGTTGTAAATTGATTTAAATATTGCAACTACAGCAATAAATATCTCACCGTGGAGCTTGTCAACGTTGTTGTGTTAACACGACGCATATTTCTGAGTACATCCCCAACAGCGTGGAGTTCATACACGTCCCTCACAAAGTGGTCGACTCCTGCATCAGCATCTGACCAGCCACTCCAGCGGAGATTCACTGTGGGCTAAAACAAGTCATGGAATCATTCTTCCTGTCTACCATCAACATCGGGTGTGAAATATAACTGTGGTCATATACTTACAGTCTTGATAACATCGGGAACAGTCAGCATGCTGCCAACACAGGCAGTAGTACCAGTACAGTGATAGGGATCCACCAGGTCTATGGACACAGTAAAGGTGTGGGTCTGTGTGGCACCGTTGTAGTAGTAGGTCGTTAGTGTGATACTCTCATTGTCCCGGACCTTCACATACCCTCCATTACTTGTTGCGTAAGTGAATTTGATACTGAAAATAACAAGAAACCTAGGACATTCAGATTCCAAGCTTAGATGAAAGCCAGCATTTGAAATAAACAACAGTGTCTGTATCGTGTACCAGACTATGTGTACCAGACTGTAGGTAAGTAGCAATATGTACTCATACAAAATAAGTTATGATTGTTATGGAAACGACAAAATATAATGTGATGAAATAGGTGTACTCAAATGTCAGGGTGAAAAGCAACACTACCCAAACGTCCATTCTGCTAGACACAGTCTAAGCTGTATAACGTCATTTACACTCAAGGTCACCCATCCCCTCCCCATACTCACACATCTCTATGTTGGAAGGGTAGAGGAAGTACAGACGTCCCTGGTGAGTTTCCTTCACAGGTGTACAGGTCTGTGTCCGGGCTGCTTCGGCTGACTCCTCCACAGTTATACACCTTAGTGGAGACAACACCTGTACCTTGGTACAACAACACAGTCAGGTGAGTGAATAATGATGTACGGATGATGATGAGACAAGAAGCACAAGATCATCAGTTGGATGATTCATGATATGCTGACCTTTTACAGTGATTCAAACAGATGTTCATGTGATAGTCCGCTTTTAGCGGTGGTTTCTAATGGATGTGGAAGGGTGTTGTCGCTTACATTGAGAAATCAACCACCTGATAGTATATTTCTTTGTACAGTCAGATGAACGATGTTATACCAAACTCGTTAGAAAATCCGTTCAAACTTTGAATGCATACATAATATGTTATATTATGGATATTGTGACCTCTTTTATCCGACACACCTCTCTTTAGTTTGAATGTAGCAGAACCACTGACAATTCCCACACGGAAGTCTTCAATGAAGGCATGTCTGGATGGAGGTACCATTTTGTATTCTGCCGTAAACTTATAGTACATTCTGGATGGAGAGTTGATGTTTGACCAGCTAGTGGACTGAGATGAACCACTGTTGATGTTGGGAGGTGCCTCTGTTATGTCGCCGTTGCTGGCGGTCAGTCTCAGGAGGTTGGAGTGTATTGTGGGATTCGTTGTTACTGTGACAAACGTGTACAAATATACGAACAGTGTACGTGTACAAACAATACGCCCAGCAATAATGCAATATAATTCCCTTGATCAGACGGAAAATATGGGCATCATTTTGTTTCGTCAAAGTCTAATCAGGAAGATGTATAGCTCGGTGTATGAGCTAATTATCATGTTAATCAGTAAGACAGCTTTGCATAATGTATAATGCATAACTGTCATTAATCAGTCATCGTCAGCAACTTTGGATATCAATAGGCAGGACATGACTTTGGTTTTTCAAACCTATGTTTGAAATGCTTCAGATGAATGCCCAAAGGCATATGGATATATTTTAACGAGGTTAGTGATAAGGTTACTCTTCTTACCCATTTACTTGCAATCCTGTAAAATCAGAAATACTCCAGAAGAAAAGTAACACTGAAAATGATATGAATGTATCAGTGAAAATCAGAAGTGACATGATATATTCGCCATGAGGTAAAGCATGTTTAGTTTTGTTTGTAATCCCAGGAAGCGTCAACTCACTTGTCTGGCAATGTTTCCCTGTGAAACCGCTGGAGCAGGCACAGTTACTGGCGTACTCGTCCCTGCAGGTCCCGGGGATAACACCGGGTGCTGTCACTCCGCCACGAACACGCCTCTGTTGACACAGATGTGGGTCTAGGATTTACAGCATGTTTAGTTAAGAATCGAAATCAGCTCTGTGTGGTGTAGTGGTGGCATATTTTGTTACTTCTGTGTGATCTGTTGTCAGAGGAAGCAACACATACATTGCCTATGCACATCGGGATAGTTCCTTGTTTCTAACTTAAGTTGACTGGAAATGATTTCGTATGACAACATTTATGATCAGATTCAAGATATATGCAGTTTGTGTGAGTGTGTGTGTGTTTATTCAAAGCTCGATGAACCGGAAAATAAGAAACTGAAACTGGGGGTTACATGTTCTCACTTAGGTTGACTGGACTCTTCCTCTTATATTTTGACAGTTTCAATGAATAAAAAAAAACGTCGCCATCGTATGTTTCGTAACATTCATGATCACCTCACAATGTAATGTCTTAAGATTCAAGGTTCTTGCGGTTTGCGGGTGTGCTTTTGATAATCATAGCTCGATGTACTGGGAAATAACTGTAGCAGGAACCTATAAGCACTAATTTTGGACATACAGTTGACTCGTTGTTCACCAATTGCAACTCACGTATGCATAATCTGCTATAAGAAGACGCCACATACGCCCTGGATCCTGCCTGGTCCTGCACGACCCCCTCACAGCGACTACACACCTGGTTGCTGCTGCTGGTGCATGTCTCCAGGTCACAGTTACTGATGGCGCTGCACACTGTCAAAGGAAACATAGGGTATGAACAACGTGAATTTCGAGTTGGAAACGGGCTCAAAGTCGCATTAAACGGCGTGCCAGCTTAATATGACAGGAACAGTGATGCAGTTTTCATACATTAACTTTGTTAAACCACGATTATGGTGCTGACAGAACACGAAACAAAATCGAGGCGAACCGGGATTCGAACCCGCATGTTTAGGTTAAAAATGTGCCCCAAGGGACGTAACTCTGCAAAACGAATGACTGCGCATGAGTTCACTTGGCCATACACGCCACCCATATGAGTGAGTGAGTGAGTTATTATTTAGCGTCACATCGGCAATATTGCACCCATATCGTGACGAGAACAATCTAGTTTATATCAATATGAAAATCAATAAAGTTAGAAAATATAAACCTGTAATCGAAGGATAGTAAAAATACTAGAGTGTCACAGCCATATAAGTTTAAAATTAGTACGCTATCGTAACATTAAATCACTATAGACAGTACAAAATAAAGACGGGCTGTAGATCACCAACACCACCCATATGAATGGATCGACTAAACCTATGTACACGTACTTCTGCAGCGTTCATTGCTGGGGTAAAAGCCTTCATTACAGTTGACACAGGTCCCAGGGGAAGTACAGCTGCCCCCACTCTTGTACTGTGTGTTGCCGTTACTGTGGACGATGTGAGATGTCCTGTAGTCGATGTTGCAAGCAGCGGGGTTGATTTGATTGTCACATACAGCTGCATTGTGTAATTGGAGTTTCATTGTTACATTATGTGGGATTGAACAATGTGATATAAATGTCAAATCATAAGAATTCGGAGATGTGTTGTGCAATAAAATGTATCTAGCTGGGATTAGAAGAAAGCTAGCATGTTACTTGTCCATACGCATCAGGGAGCCTCAGCATAAACGTCTGTGCATGACATTAACAGTCTGTGTATTTATTCAAAATACATTACACGACCCGTCCAGCCTAATGTTATCAAGGTATACAGATCATCAGATCATAATGATAAAAACTGTAGCTAGGCCAGACCTTCCTCAAACCATGTAGCACAATTCACTTACCATGCGGGCAGCCTCTGTTATCTGTTGTTCTGTACCCTGTTTTGCATCTGTAACTTGTGACTGCCCTTCGCCTGGTAGAACACAAATGTGTTCTCTTACGATGCGTTTGATATTGTCAACATAGGAATGTTAAACGTCATAACAGTGTTAATATAATGTGTTGTAACATTGTACCTCAACTACGATTTGGTCTTTGCAAATCTGTCAGAGAATTTCCGTTTGTTATGGAAGTCAACCGTAACTGGCAGCAAATGTGGTCCGAATATAACTAAATCAGATCAGATCGGGTACATAGCATCGTTTATATATGAAAAAACCCAAAACAAAGCAAAAACTTTATGAATAACAACCATTCGTTTTAAGAAGTGAAGTTTTACCTGTATTCTGTGCACCGCCAAGCGTAGAAAAGACTACACCCCGTTGTGTAACGTGATGACCTGTAAGTTGTATACGCCTCTACATTTACACTGAAACGAAAGTAAGACTTGGAGGTATCATTATTTCCTCCCCTCACAATGTATGCCAACAGCAAATGCCATCATGGATGTATAATAAATTAAGTAAACGACTCATTAATGTGAACAACATCAAATGAATGAAGGTCGTATTTACTAACAAATATCAGCAAACTTGGAACTGACAATATAGCGACATGAATAATACTTTTTTGTCTGTAATTTCTTTTATAGCCCAGCTTATTCTGAAGGGTTGATGCGTCCACTTACTCAGTGACATACGTTGTTTAATGGTTTGACTCATTACTGTGAATGTGAATGTTATTCTTCATTACTTGTGTCTCAATACGTATAATTCACTATGCTCAGGTGAATGTGCACCTTTAGCAATATATGACAAGTAGGAAGAGCCCCCCAAAACGAACATCAAATACTCAACTGGTTGAGCAAACAGTAAAGCCGAATAATTTGGAAGCAGGATTAATGAACGCCGGTCTCATTGCTGTAATCGTGACTGCGAGTACCCATTTTTATCTTTGTTAGGTCAATCTCGGAATTTTAACATATGGGGGTTCTATTTCACCCTCCGCTTTTAAATTTGTCAATTTCTTACAAAAAGTATCAAAATCTGCAAAGCTTCTTTTGTGAGTTAACCCGCTCTTGGCATGAGTTATCACTATGTACAATCGATAGCGAACATATTACTTCATACGTTGCGGCTTGAAGAACTAGTACTGTTATCACGAACACAAACACGCACGTACGCACAAATTATTATGAAAAACTCCTTCTTACTGATCATAAGAGAGTTTAAGATTGACTCATTTGAGGGCAACAATTCATCAATACCAAGCTGAGATCAAAAAGTCAGTTAAAGGGTCCAAAGGGTTTTACATATTCACTGTAACATTACCACATTCAGCAAGGTCGTGATCGTAAAAGAACAAATGACGCCCAACAGTAATCCATACCGACCTCATCCGCTTGTACTTCATCTCCTGTTTAGTGACAGGTCGTATATTCGGGGCATGTTTCAACTCTTCTCAGCTACAGGATTCACCTTAAAATATTAGTCTACGTTTTACAGCTTTACCAAATTAACTTTGATGACTAATCAAAACTGTCTGTTTTCTCTTATAGCATATGATGCCGTTACGTGCCGTAACTGGGACAAATTCCGAATGTAATCCTCTTCAACAGCAAGGAACAAACGAAAACTATTTTATTATGGAAATGTACAGGATATTTGGACAACAGTAGTTATGCTGCTGTTGTCGATAATTCACAAACCTTGTTTCTTAATGATCCATTCAAATGTCCATACACTAAAGTTCACATGAATGCATGTGTTTTTTTCTGTCAGTGTGTCTTGTTAGTTTGTTTATATCTACAACAACATTTAGTTTGGATGTTTTTGGCATTATTTTCATGCTCGAATATGTATTTGAATGGGTGTTATGTCACTGTTACATTTTTCTAAATCCCTAATCCCTAAATAAGATATTATGTTTATCTAACGACACCTCTCATGACAATCGTAGTGTCGCAGTATCATTTGTTCACCTCAAGAATAAACAGCACAAAAAGTGATTTCAAGGCGGAAGTGTTTGCTCAGCCAACATGAATACAGCAATGTTATGAAATGTTACTCCATATATCTCTCTCTCAAGATTGTCAAATCCACTGGACCTGAAACTAGTCATGCATGCTGACACACGTCAGGGTGAAATACAAGTCAGTACCACGATAGTGTTGCAGTGTTCACACGGGTATAGATGTAGTTCCTCATACACAGATTGCATAACTAAACGACTAAACATACATTTGTAACTGACAAAAGTTGCACTATGGGTTTGTTAAATCACATCTATCAGCATAAATAATGCCACTATTTTCCTAAGGTATTAGCAATTATTAAGTTTCAGCGGCGGGCAGGTGTCGCCTAGGCGATTAGAAGCTGTAATCCCAGGTGTTTATGCAGAACATCGATCGAAACATCGGTGTCTCGTTGTTTTCATGCAAGTTTCATTTGAAAACATATAATACCTAATATACAATAAGAATAGACGAGAGGTTGTTCTCATCAACGAATGCTGTATCACCACACCTTGGAGGTGATGTCAGTCGCCGCCGAATGATACTTACGTTTATGGCATTGTACGTCTTGTTAACAGCGATCCCAATGTCTTTATGTAATCTAAATCTTTGCTTATGAACATATTGAACCCATCTTATGGCTTTGTACGACGACACAAGCATGAAAGGTGTTATACTCGATGGGGTTCCTGAACATGAAATCCAAATCTAAACAACTCCTCTCAAATATTGGTGGTTGAGCAGTAGAAGAAGTTCTACTGTGTTGCACCTATTATTTAGATGGTCCATAAAGCCACAAAGGTTCGGGTGGCAAACACTATTCAGCAAAAAACTTTCAGTATTATACCAGCTACTGAAGAGTTATTGAATTTGACGAATAACGCTAAAACATTATGTATGTTATTAAAACATGTCATCTAAAACATTTGCTCTTTTTACAGAATAACAATACAACTTACAAATGTAACATATATACATGTTGTAAAGGGGGTAGGGGAGCCAAAAATCCTCCATTCTGCTTCTATGACGTCATCAACCCCAAACAGTGTTTGGATATTCATTTTTAGCTTAATCGCCAGAGAGAACATCTCTTCTCCGTGAAAACCGTTCTATGCTCTTGACTCTACTGGTTCTGGTGGCTGTTTACCTCGAAGATAGACAATGCAAGCAGTTCACCGTGATATTCACACTTGTGATAAAGAGGCCCTGGTAAAACTTCAAAATCTGAGATGTCATTTACATCTGAGGGACGATGTCTGTGTGACAGCAAAGACATGGAATAGAGAACCAGAAATTCATGTGAGGAAGTACGAAGTATACCCGAGTGGCAAGTCCTACCCTACAAAACAAGGCATTGTCCTGAGTTTGAAACATTGACTGGAAGTGTCTAGTGTTCATGCGCAGCTAAAACAGCAGGGAAGGTACTCACACGACCATGTTGGAAGGATCATGTATGCTTCCTGGGACTACAATGGTATAAATGTGCGACAGTGGGAGAATGATCAGAAAAGTGGTAGTGGTACATATGTATTCTGTTGTCCACTACACAGCTGGTAGATTGAGTTACGTTTGACTTTGTGCCAGAACTGAAAGAGATGCTTCCGCGTATGCTTCAGGACGATCATCAGAATCAGATTGGGTACCTCATGTGTTCCTTCTGTAATCTAGTGACAACAGTCACTGGGTGTAAAGACAGTCTTGGCTTAGGCACTGTACTGTGCGGACGTGTTGCCACTGCTCTCCCATCTGGGATATGATGGATGTGTGAGGACATGAACCACTCGACAAGTCAAATGGCCCAGGCAGGATTTGTGTACTTAATCAGAGGGGACGCTTGCAAGTGTTTTCAATATAGTCTTGTTCTCAAGAACGGGGAAGTAGACGATGATCCCTGGGATGAACATGAAAATGGTCTCAATACAGTCCGTTTTCGGGCCTTGAGGGGAATACCTCAGGTAGAGATGGCCCGCTGGGGGTGTCATGTGGATTTACAGGTGTAACTAAGAGTGTGATATGCATTGTAAAATATTGTATATTTGTGAAACTGTTATTGGTAATAAATCAATCTTAAAATTATATCTGCATTGTCTGTCTATGTATAGTCTTTTGTCGATGTATAATTATAGGTTTACTCAAATACAAATCTCATTGAGATGCAAACCTCGATAGGAATAAGAGCTTGTTTTCTGGACTTATGGCTCGGTACGTGTTGAAACATTACGAGATTTTAAGGTTCATGTTAATGTTTCAAGACTTTGAGCAGATTCAACAAGATATCTTAGAAATGAACAGAGAACAGATTCTTGCCGACAATAGTATTATTAATCAGCTTTTAAAGGGAAGAATACCAGTGACTCGATATGAAAGACGTACGTCGTTTCCTTAGGAACAATGATAGAAATAGCTATCTAGCGGTGTTACGAAGATTAGTTTACCCCCTGTGGACTACAAATGGTATTTGGGAGAGTCCTTTTGCCAGTTACATGCCCATGGTAGCGTAAGTTTTGAAACCCAAATTTGTCAATGCGCTTAGAGATGAGGCCATTCAAACTGCCTGGTTGTTAGATAGAGCATTGGCTTTTTACAATTAGTACAATTACCATTGTTAGGTGTAGTGTAGCGGGAGGCTAGGACTATCTAGCAGTTATGTTATGCTGGACCCAAGAAGCGATACCTAGCTATTGAAACTGGATGTCAATTAAGACGTGGGTATTTGTATAAAAGGCCACTTCAGAGTGTTCAGTTTTAAATTGAAAGCATCAGTTAAAGTTTACCAAGCGTAGGTAGAACTAAAGGAAAATGGGGATTCATCGGTATGTAATTATGACATTTAAATACACAGCTATCACTGGACTATGTCCTCTCGTCATTTTGGTTTAAATACTATACCCGCGGAACATACAGAGCCATATTTCAAGAATACATAGTATTGTTACAGAGGACGTAAGTGGTAAACAGATTAACACCTTACTACGGATGTGTAGAATATAGTTTTAAGTTAACAAAAAGTTTCAAAGTATTCCAGTCGTTGGAGTTAAAAGCAGATATTTTAAATGATACAAATACAGGAAATCATGGAGGAAAGGACAGCGTGTTTGAGACAACCCTGGACAAAATCTGATAAGACGTGTCTTGAAAGAACATGTATCTTGGCACATGGCAACATTGTCAAATATTCGATTTGATATGATTTCAAACAATATCATGCAGCCCATTTCCATGTATATAATAAACTGAACATCAATGAAAACTCACAAGTCTAAAATTGTCCATATTTTCATCGAGATGAATTTCAGCATGACAATGATCAATGAATATAACTAACATGAAGTCCAGTTGAAAAAATCCTTTAGAAACAAATTCCTGTCCACAGTATGACTCTTAATTCCAAAATGCATCAACATGCAGCCACGCCATGAAAAAAGCGCGAATTTCATTCTGAAATCATACTGACTGCGACATTAAAAGCAGGTGTTTGAGAACCGATTCTCATTGCTTCACTAACGATTGGGAAACGAGGACAGAGATGCCGAGGTTAACACCTTAAGAAAGAGAACGTGTACTAGGCATGATTCAGGTTGGCACCAGCAGCAGGGATATTGCTTGACAACTTGGACTTGGCCACTCCACCATCGTTAGGCTAGTCGTAGACATCAGTAGACAGGCCGTGACCTTAAAGGACCTTAGCAACAACGTGTTACGACGCTCCATCAGGATCGCCATATTGACCTTGTCCATATCAGTGATTGAACACTGCCGACTGCCAGGACCTGTGCACTAGTTCAAGGTTGACGTGGGGGTCATCAGCGCTGACTCCATGCGACGCCGTCTACACGCTACAGGGCTCCATGCTCGAAGTCCTTACGTTGGACCAATTCTGACTGACAGACATCGTAATGAGCGTATACAATAGACCAGCATGCATTTTCAGTAAACGTTGCAACAATGGTATACAATAGACCAGCATGCATTTTCAGTAAACGTTGCAACAATGGCATAGTGTGGTAGTGACTGACGAGTCACGTCTTCATCTACGTAATGCTGACGGCCGATTACGTGTTTAGTGTAGACGTGATGAAGTGTGTGTGAGTGTGTGGTTCAGACAGACCTTTGGGTGGTGGGAGCGTCATGGTCTGGGTTGGAATAAATTACAATCTCAGGACTGCCTTCATGTCTGTCAAGGGAGAGTTAATGCCCTTTATTACCGTGATCAGATTCTTCAGGATCACATCGTATCTGTCTTCAATACTTCCATACTTTTCAACAGGACAACACACGGGCACACACAACAAGAATTTCCATGCAGTATCTGTCCCAGCAACACATCCAGGTTATTCATGGGCCAGCACAGTCGCCAGATGTATCCCTCATGGAGCACTTGTGGGACGAAATTGGTCAAAGTCTTTCGCGGCGACAACTGATGCGAAACATCTGGGACACTTGAAACTGCACTACTGCAGATGTGGTATGCCATCCTCAAGAACTCTATTCGGATGCTTATTGACTCAATGACGAGACGTTGAACTGCACGTGTCAATGAAAATGCAGTCACACGCGATATTGACTTTTCGATTTGTCCCCACATGTGTTTGATCTTTTCTGACTGTGGAACATTTTAATGAATGAGCGTCTTTCTGTGTTGTTGTTTTTGTCAGGCGTCCATCTGTTATTATCCACTCAAAAAATTCCATTCCTTAGACGTGCTTTTAATAATCTGAACTTTTATAAGTGGTACGTTTTCAATTATGTTCAGTATATGAAGCTAAATATCGATAATGAGACGCCATTTTGCAGCTGCCTAAACATCAATATATCTCACTTGCAATAGTCAAGAAAAGCCTTTGGTCTTTGAAACCTGTATGCTCCAGATGAATGCCCAGAGGCAGCGATAAAACAGAAGTGTTTTCTTACCCATTTGCTTCCAATCCTGTGCTGAAATTCCACGTTGCAAGTGAACAGATCCAGAACACTATACTGTATTGTACAGACATCATACTTCCTTTCTGTCGATGTTCACTGAGGGATAAGTAAGAACCACAGTGATCACATGGTTGACTTCAGAATTTTGTTATAATTTGAGTGACGCCGCATCCTTTTTTGATAATTGTACGTAAAGGAGTGAGTGAATACGGTTTTATGCCGCTTTTAGCAACATTACCACAACATCACAGCCGGGAACATCAGTAATAGGCTTTACACAGTGTACCCATGTGGGAAACCGAACCCCTGTTTTCGGCGTGACGAGCGAACACTTTATCCAGTAGGCTACCCTACCGACCCTGTACGTACCAGAACATTCCTGGGTTATCAAATGAGTTTCATCTCTTTAAGAACCTGAGGGTTTCTTCTAGGCAGTGAGAGCGAAATGCCGTTGCGACCGACAGTTGAAAAATAAGGGAAACGATGACATCTTTGTCACCCTGTCTATCACTCTGCAAGGTGCATAACCAACACCTGATGAACTCTGATCGCATAATCAAGATACTGTTTTTGAGTGGGGTACCCATGTCAAACAGACTGGGTTTGCACCATGAACTGGGGTTAGTCCAGACAAACACACTCAAGAAGCAGCCACATATTCACATGCACGCTGTAAACAACGCAGTAGTCTTCAACTCGACGTTAAACCACTACGTACGACATGACCCTCGTTTTCCAAATGAAACTTAAAAAATCACAAACTGCAGACATTCAATCAAGAGACAATTCACGATTTATCGTAACCACATTCAAGAATTCCTCAATGCATTTTAGCGTACGTTTTATGTAGCTGTGGAACCAAGCCCGACCGCAAACGAATAATGTCGATAGTCTTGATTCTAATCTGCTCATAATCTCGTCTGAAATATATAGTTTGTGAAATGTCATTTCAAAGTATTATACAAACACATTGACATATTGGTGGGGGGAGTGCACATATATCATGAAGTTCAAAGGTGTTGCGCAGTCCCACACCCCTCCTCTGAATCCCCTGATATGTCATATGAACACCTAATGTTATACCACATTGCTATCTACATGTGCGCCAAATGTTCACCAAATGTTACATTTGGTTCAAACAAAGCCATGGGCACAATGTGTGAAGCCCATTTCAGGTGTTCCTCGCCGTGATATTGCTGGAATATTGCTAAAAGCGGCGTAAAACCAAACTCACTCACTCACTCACTCACTCACTCAAACAAAGCCGAGTCATAAAATTTTGAAAATGGGGCTACACTATTTCTAAACTTCGGATTGGAAACTCTAATAGGATTCTAAAGTGTTGGTAACACGTACATCTATAATATGTACAAATATATGCATAGATAAAGAAAAATATACTTGTATACACATATACTTACTATAGCTGAAATGTTGTCACTCTTGTTTTTCTATACACATCCAAGCACCGTCTGCTTTCTGTGCATCTGTTACGACAGAGTTGCACTCGGGCTGCTGTACCCTGGGTTGTATACAGGTCTAACTGACTATGAGATTGTTGGTGCAAGACTTCTGTACCAGGAAGTCTTATATAATGCATGGGAAACTGCGGTTAACAAAGGCAGCATAGTATGGTGATACAACTGTACACGTTCAGCGTCCGTGTCAACTACACTCATGTTCAACACGACCTTGAAAAGGAAACTTGACACGACTGACATTTTCTTCTTTACATCTATCGGGACCAAATCGGTACACCTACTGAATACCGGATACCTACCAGCCATATTGTTTAGTGTCCCGTCCACATCCTATTATAGGAAAGCACGAGCATCAAAATATAAAAATTACCATTAAAATCTGATTATTTGGGACCACTTCCGGTAAGTAAAACTAACCAACGATTTTGAAAATGAAAGATAAGTTATAACAAATAAAAATATATGCATTTTGAAAAAGCGGAGCTGCGTGAATTTGAATTTTAAGCGATTGAGCATTGGAAAGTTCCTTAACACTAACCTAGCTTAACAAAAGAAGATATCCAAGTGCTAAAAAAGTAAGTACTCTAAGATAGTAAATTACTATAAAATCGAGACGCGTTGCGCACATTTTCCACAGTTCTAAAGTATTCAAGACAAATCAAGGCTGTGACTCTAACCTGTCGATTTGCCGCATCAGCGTGAGGAAAACACGTAATGAACGTCACATTGATCGTATAGGCCAACCGGAGGGGAGGAGAAGGCATCATTGTGTGGAGACACTTGCTTATTATCACAGGATCCCTCTACAAGGATTCCATCTGCGCATCGTTTCTGTTAAATCGTTTAAGTCGTATGCTTCATATTTCACTAGAAGTTTTTGATTTCAGCAGACATCTCAATGTTAAAAACTAAACATTGTTGATCTTTGTTTATTACTTTACAGCCAAAAATGAACATATCACAAATTACTTTTTTGCTAACCTGAAAGAGAATGCACAGGAAAATCTATAAATTGTAGCATTATTTTCCTCATTTTTAATTTTATTTTTCCTATTCCCAAAATAGATACTTCAACACAGTTAAAATCTTTACAGTACATTGTACTTAGATATGCATTCATTTAGTGAAATAAAATAAGCAGCTACACTTGTGGTGTTGAAATCCATTTCCCGGAGAGAAACAAGCATGGACAGTCACTCCTTGCGTCAGGCAACACGACATTATAACATACTTTACTACAAAGCTAGTGATATTTCAAATCGGATATTCCTACAATCTGCATGTATTTTACTTACTTGGCAACTTACACCTTCGTAACATACTCCTACTGAAGCATTTATTCAAAACAAAATGTCGGACTTAGAATTTGTAGTTATTGTACTGATGTTGCTGAGAATGATGGGTGACCGTTCGACAACTTGAATTCTATAAACAATACTGTATGCTCCAACATATAATTGCATATTTTCAAACAAGCTGTAACGCTCTAGTTCTCGGTTGTAAGAACAACCGAGAATTGTGTACCCAAACAAAGCCACCATTGAAGACATCTTGCCAAACGCTGTCGATACCATTTTACAACAATAAGCCGTTTCGCGATGTCAAACGAGATTCACCTCCGTGGTATGTGTCCCTGAATAATAGTATTATATAGTCTAGCGTCGCTAACAAGGAAGTTTAAAGTTAAACGATTGGACCCCTTGTTACTGGCTGTGTCAGTGTCAGCGTCATTGTTATATTAATAGCGCCCATCAACTAGGAAGTTCAAACAATGTGGCTCAGTTGCCATCGATGTTCATAACATTGCACAAAATGTTCCACGAAACTTCAATCTTCTCATGTACATGCTTCGCTGATTATATGATGTATAGCTGTCTGAAGACCCAGTATGTGTATTGTAGCGACATACGTTATTTTCAAGTAGACGGATGTGCGATCCATGTACATGTTTTAATGACTTAATCATCGTTTTAAAGTGTCGTAATTTCATTCTTGTCCATCTTGACCCTTTGAATGGTCACGCGATCAACACAGGAGCATGTGATCAACACTCTGGAAGTTAAGCTTATCTTTTGATATGTGTATTATAATGTAGGCAAAATGAGTTACCTTCCAAGCGCACCGGCTTAGATCTAGTTGTGAATCTTGCATTACAATGCTATGTTGAAATGCTGAAATTGGGAATTTATACCAAACCACTACTACTGCATGTGCTCTGAACCTGAGACTATCTTGATGACAAGTTTGTTGTCTACTCGAGGTAAACGATAATGACACAGACACAACACACATGTACTTGTATGATGGGTTGGGTGTGACAGTGATGAGGATAGATCCGCTAAGCACCACTATTTCCAGCTAGCCTTATTCTTCTACAGCCACAAGCTGCATCAGATCCCAATTAATGGATTAAAAAATACACTGAACTAATTGGATGTTCTTGATAAAATGCGGCCGCTAGTTGACAGGATTCAGTTGTATTGATTTGTCATCAGTCGGACCAACCTTCTTGTAAACCAAGTGTTGTCCTACTGGCTTCTAGTATCCTGGCGTCTCATTGCAGGCATGTCATACATAATCCTGGGTTCGAACCCAAGACGCTCCCTGTGTTTGATTCTGGTATCTTACATGTACTTTTTGTTGTGTTGTGTTTACCATCATACTTGTTAA